ACGCTTGCATTACCCTCGGGATGTATGCCAGGATGAAGGGAGGTTGAGGTAAGAGAGAGAGAGAAGAGGAGCGCTTACCTGGCTACTAGTAGTCGAACTAGTGAAGTGGAAGAAACCAAAGTTGGACTACTGTGTGATTAGGGAGATGCACGGATCTGATTGGAGTCCGGTCGAGATACGTAAAGTCGGGAGAGGGAAAGTGACGGAGTAGAAGGAGGGAAGACAAGAAGGATCAAACCGTGAGAGAAAAGGGTGAGTCTTACCTTTGTCATGTCGCCGGAATTGTACATTCTTCAGCATGGTAAGGAGGTGGATCTTCCCACGTTCTCAGCTGATGGTTCATTCTCACTACACACGCTTGGTGAGCAGGGCAGCAAAGCCATTGCTGAGATCGACGTCAAAATTCCCTCCTTAGTCGTACTCCTCCACTACGATCGTAGCCACCCTCACTGTGATTGCCGCTCAGAGTTCCCCGTAGCCATCCTAATAGTCCTCGTGGCCAGGCACATTGACTCGTACCTCATTGACAAACGGGCTGGTTACGCAGCAAGTGGATGGAAGTGTTGAGGCAAAGGGAGATTGGAGAGGGGCTTACCTCCTTGGCGGAGCCTGTCTTCAAAGTTGTCGTAACAGGGCAGCTCATTCGTTTATTATTGCCATGCTCAGAACAGCAGCTCAGCAGCTCCGCTTTTTAGTGCTCCTCGTCACGGTGTTGCCTTGCTTGTTGTCGCTGTATGCACAGGGAGTTGCATGAACCTGACTACCGAGCTTGATTACAGACCGACAAGGTATGTACCTGGTCAGGGTGGCAGTCTGCATGATTGACATCCGCATGTACTTCGGCCATTGTTGCTGACGTCCATAGGCTGTTTTATCACCTTAGTAGGATAGGAGTAAGTGTGATCTGAGCAGGACGTTGAACACCAAATTAAAAAGGCATGTCTGTGCATTTAGTTACTGAACATTGCACCCAGTAGTGGGCTAGAGAGTCAGTGGTTCCTCCATGCGTAATACTACTTGGGGAAGAGCAGCGATACTCACGATCCCATGACATGGTCATGGTGTGAACAATTGTTGTTTGTTGTACCTGTTGTCGTGAGCTACTGTGCATTTACTGAACTTGTTGATGTGCATAGACGACTCTGCCTTGTCATGCATACACTGTGTTTTCGCTGTGCTTAATGTTAGGCTCCACTGGGCTTTGTCGTTGTAGTTGTTGGGCAGTGACGTGCGTCACACTAAAATCTCCAAATGCCATACGCGTTGCATTATGGCTGAATGCAACTGCATTATGTCCCCCATCAGAAATAGAAAATAGGGGAGTACGGGTGTGATGCAGGAAGGCAGACGACATAGTAAAGGAGGAAGAGGGAGAAGACTTACCTGCAGAACACAGTGAACGGTAAGACGTCGGGCCGACTGAAGGAATTAACGGCAGACCAACAAAAGACAGGGGACTTACCTGTTGGACTGTGTGTTGCTCACACAGTCGAAGGAGCAGCAGCAGACCAACAGAAGACAGGGGACTTACCTGTTGAACTGTGTGTTGCTCACACAGTTGAAGGGGAGGCAACAAGACCAGCAGGCGGCTTGGGAATTTCCCTAGTGTACGTTGCATTGCTCGTTTGATCAACAAAAGTAGCGCGAGGAGCAAGCTTGGAGACTTTCCCGTGGAGCGGTGTGTGAAACTAATTTAGTCGGGGAGCAGCCGCGACTTCAGTTCTTCACGGGCAGTTTTTTCTGCTTCATTCTGGCCACGGATCTGATTGTGGACGTCACATTTTAGCCACCATTGCAGGGCCCTCAAGCACATCAAGGTAACAAGGCCCTCTCATGTGAGTTGAGTTGGCTCATTCTCGTATCTCGAGCGTCTGACCTTTCTCCATCTATCCTTCTTCCTCTCAGTCTAGTCTGTATTTGGAGAGGAAGGCGGCAGGCGGGATTGCAACCGTAGGACCGCATCAAGGCCTTTGTGGGAGGTTGACCCACCGATTGCGGGAGCTCTGCCGGAGCCCAGGCGGGACTCTGGAGGCACGGAACGCAGAGGTAGGCCGACACTATACCACTAGAATCCCAATAAGCCCCTTATCTATATGAACCCGGTGTTTGGTCTGTTTAACTTTGACTTGCATATATGGTTGTTTTCTTTTTCAGGATTTTAACTGAGTCAGAAAGGGAAAGTACTATGCATGTCCAAATCGTCTGTCTGTGCAGAAAAGTTACGATCTTTGCATGCGATGATCTTAATGGGGCTGGAGATGAGGTCCTCCAGACTGATCCGGTCGCTTTGCTGATTGCCTAAGACATTGAAACGGGGCTGGAGATGAGGTCCTCCAGACT